CCACTTTGCGCGTTGCTGTAGAAGAGTTAGATACTCTTGAGTCCACCGCTTCCAAAAAACCTGTTTAATGTATGTTGCACGCTGCCATCGATCAAGTCGGTCGTAGTTTAGCGTCGTTAGATCTGGTTCCGGAAGAGCTGTCAGAGAACCACCAATCAAAAAATGGCCTGGCGTTAGCACATCTAAATCCTCTGGGTTTTCTGAAAGGGGTACAAGAGGACGAGAGTTAATTACAGCACAGATTTGACATACCAAAGTACGCAATTCATCGAAGCCAAGCAGTGATGAGCCAACGGAACGATAGAAATGTTGTTTGGCTGTTTTTACGGCCGCTTCCCACAAACCGCCAAAGTGCGGAGAGCGAGGTGGGATGAAACGCCAATCAAAGCCATTACTGAGGCAAAAGTTGTGGACTTCGCTGCGGTGTTTCTCGCTGAGGGCTAAGTTCCGTAGTTCTTTAAGCTCGTTCTTGGCGCCTACAAAATTCGTCGCATTGTCAGACCAGATGCAGCTGGGTATGCCACGCGTAGCGATGAATCGTTTTAGCGCGTCAATGAAAGCACCTGTTGAGAGGTCTCTTACCAACTCCATCCATACAGCCTTTGTGGCGAAGCAAATGAAAACGCTTACATAACATTTGTGGGGCGATTTATTGCGTACTTCAGGCTTGTAATAAAATGACCCACAGTAGTCCACACCGGTGACTATGAATGGGCGCGAGGCCTGAATTCGCTCTTTAGGCAGGTCGGCCATTATGTGCTCGACAAGGCGCGGTCTCGATTTGCAGCAAATAATGCATTTTTGTAGGACTCGAGTGACTGTTTTCCGACCACCTATGGGCCAAAACTGCATTCGAATGAAGGCGAGTAAAGCTTGAGGACCTGCGTGATGTTGTTTGCGATGAAAAAAGGTTATTATACTAAATGTCAGTGGATGATCCTTCGGAATAATGCATGGGTGGCGCGATTCAAAACTAAGCATAGAGTTTTTTAATCGCCCGCCGACTCTAATAATTCCAAAGTCATCAAGAAATGGTGATAGCGAAACAATGCTGCTCGAACTCGGGACGCAATTGTTGGCCTGTAATGCCGTGTACTCCGGCCAAAGTTGCGCTCTTTGTACTAAGCGAATAAGCAGTTGAGTTCCATGGTGAATATCTGCGACTGTGAGCTGCGAAGAGCTTGGCGATGTTGTAATATTGACAAATTTGCTGACGTACCCAAAAATGCGCTGCATTGTTCCAAATGAATTAATGTACTTGAACGAAAGCGAAATGTCATTGCGGTTATGTGCGGCAAGCAACACCTTTTGTCGAAGTTCTGGAAGTTTTGGTTGTGGTAGACACATGCGCGGCCAGCTGCCCTCCACTTCTCGCAAAAATGACGGGCCGTGCATCCAAAGTGAAGATCCTAGAAGTTCCTGCGGGGTAGCTCCTTTGGATAAAATGTCCGCCGGATTCATTGCTGTCGGAACATAGTGCCACCGCATGCCCTCCGTTAATTGTATGGTGGAAATTCGGTTAGCGACAAATACGTTAAATTTCGATGGTTCTTCTCGCAGCCACGAGAGGACAGTGGAGGAATCTGACCAACAATGAAATGAACAGTTAAAAAGCTTCATTTTTGTAAACTCACCCATGAGTTGTGCCAGCAGTGTTGCTGCACAGAGTTCCAGCTTGGGCACGGTGATAGTCTTCAGTGGAGCGACACGGGCCTTCGAACACAACAGGTGCACTTGTACCTTACTATCCTTGGCTGAACGCGTATAAACGCAAGCCCCATAAGCTTCAAGGCTTGCATCGCAAAATGCATGAATTTCTGTAATGGCCCCAGGTTGCAAGACGTAACGGGGAAATGATAGGTGCTGTATGTCTGCAAACCCGCTGCAAAAGGCAGACCAGGCGGTGTTTAACGATTGCGGTAGACTCTCATCCCACTCAAGCTTGTCTCTCCACATGCGTTGCAGAAGAATCTTCGCCTTGGTCAGCGTAGGGCCCATTAGTCCAAGGGGATCGTAACAGCGAGCTAGAGTAGACAACGCAGACCGTTTTGAGTTTTTACCGAGTTCTCGTTGTGGCACAAACGAAAATAGCAGCTTGTCCTTGACCGGATCCCAAACTAGTCCCAGAGCTTTGGTGATGTCACTGCCATCGTCAAACTTAAGGAAACGTTCCTTGTCTACGTCAGGTATATCACGAAGGATATCTGGACTATTAGAGCACCACTTGCGTAACTTAAAGTTTCCTCGAGCAAGGAGGCTAGTTGTTTGTATCTTGATATTCAGTACTTCTTCCATCGAATCGCCTCCAGATATCAAGTCATCTACGTAGAAGTCTCGACGCACTATTTCTGCACCAATGGGGTAAGTCGAGGATTCGTCAGCTGCGAGTTGGTGCATGGCACGTATGGCCAGAAATGACGCAGGCTTAGTTCCATAAGTCAGCGTGTCTAACTTATAGATGGCAAAGTTTTCCTGAGGAGATTCACGCCACAATATGCATTGGAGCATGCTATCTGGTGGGGTGACGCGAACACACCTATACATCTTACAGATGTCCCCAGTAAGTGCTATGGGAAAAGTACGAAATCTAATAAGGATATTAAAAAGTTTCGGCTGAATAGTTGGGCCTGCCATGAGTAGGTCGTTCAGCGAAAAGCCCGAAGAAGGGGATGCAGAGCCATCAAAAACCACTCTCAGCTTTGTTGTGCTACTGTCATCCTTGATGACGCAATGATGCGGCAGAAAATACTTGCATTGTTGAAAAACCTCATTGGTAACTAGCGACATGTGATTAAGTCCAGATATTCCTTTATGAACTTACTATATTCTGTTTTAAGCTCAGGGTTACGAGCGAGTTTTCGTTCAAGACTTTCGAAGCGTTGAAGAGCTTGAAAATAGGAGTCTCCAAGGGCCTCCACACCACGCTTCATGGGAAGACGAACTGAGTATTCGCCTGATGACAATCGCAAATAATTTTCCCGGAAGTGGGCTTCGCAGTCGATATCTTCTTGGGAGGCCTTAGAGATCGGCTCGAAGTTGTGCTCTATTTCCCAGAACTGACGCACTAAATCTTCCAACCGAGTGGAAATAATATCACTGGAGGACTTCCGTCGCACCACAAAAGATGATAGTTTTGGAGCTTGTTGCCCCCCTCCAGATAGCACCCAACCGAGGCGTGTTTTCTGAAGGAGTGGTAAACCGTATGCCAAGCGTATCTGCCCCACACATAGCAGATCGAAGAACAATGCTGCTCCAATGAGCAGATCAATTCGCTGCGGTAAGTTGGACCCAGGATCAGCTAGTTGTATATTCGACGGAACATTCCACTCGTTGGTGCTCACGGAGCAGCCAGGCTGGTTGTCGGTTATGGTTTGCACAACAACAGCTGTTATGTTTGTTGAGAAATCTGAAGTCCGCGACTTCAGTACGAGGTCGACTGAGTAACCCTCCGTTGAGAAATTGACATCTCCAATGCCAGATACTGTAGCAGAAGATTTTGCTTTTACAAGCTGCAATTGGTTTGCAAGGCGAGTTGTGACAAAGTGTAACTGGGAGCCAGAATCTAAAAGCGCCCTGCAAGGCACGAAGCTTCCAGCACGATTTTTTACCAGAACGACGGCAGTAGCTAGGAACACAGCATCAGAAGGAGATACTGGGGCACTAGGCGAC